CTCTCGCTCAAATTCAAGAGGCCCAATCTAGTTCTCACCCAAATCAGGTTTGCCATTTGTTTCAATAGTGCCAGGTCAGGCCCATTATCTTGATTAATAGATTCATAGATGTTTGGGTCAGAAGGGACCTTAGCAGATCGAGTTCAACCCCCTGCCCCGGCAGGGAAGAGTGCTGGGGTCAGAAAACTCCAACCAGGTGCTTGTGCAGCCTCCTCTTGAAGACCCCCAAGGTAGGGGAGAGCACCACCTCCCTTGGAAGCCCATTCCAGACTCTGGCAACCCTTACCATAAAGAAATTCTTCCTGATGTCTAACCTAAATCTACTCTCCGTCAATTTGTGGCCGTTGTTCCTAGTTACTCCAATGGGTGCCCTGGTAAACAGAGTATCTCCTATTTCTTGCTGCTCCGCCCTGATGCATTTGAAAGCCGCCACAAGATCACCTCTCAGCCTTCTCTTGTGGAGGCTTAGGAGATCCAGGGCCCTCTATCTCTCCTTGTAGGGCTTTGCCTGCAGGGTCCTAACCATATGAGTGGCTCTCCTCTGGACCCTCTCGAGGTTGTCCACATCCCTCTTGAAGTGCAGCGCCCAAAACTGGATGCAGTACTCCAACTTCGGCCTGACCAATGCCGCATAGAAGGGAAGTATCACCTCCCTGGACCTGTTTGTCATGCACCTTGCTAATGCACCATAAAGTGTGGTTAGTTTTACTGATCACTTCATCACATTGATGACTCACATTCATCTTGGTGTCAACAATGACTCCGAGATTCCTTCCCACTTCTGTGCTGCTGAGAAGGTCATCCCCCAGCCTGTAAGTGGTCTGCTGATTCCTTTTCCCTAAGCGCAGCACCTTGACCTGTCCTTGTTGAACTGCATCCTATTTTGTTCCGCCCACTTTTCCAACCTGTCCAGATCCACCTGGATTCATTCCCTGCCCTCTAGCTGTATTAACTTTACCTCATAATTTGGTATCATTTGTGAATTTGGACAGAGTGCGTTCCATACCCTCAAAGTCACTGATGAAGTCATTGAACAGCACAGGTCCAAGGACCGAGCCTTGAGGGACTCCACTGCCCACATCGTTCCAGGTCGATACTGACCCATCCACCACCACTCTCTGGGTTGACCCCCTAAGCCAATTTGCCACCCACCCGACCATGTAATCATCTATGTCACAGCTGCTCAGTTTATCTGTGAGAATAGGATGAGAACCGTATTGAAGGCCTGATACAGTACATGGCAAATGCTCACTAAGGACTGAAGCCCAGATACGCTCCAGTATTTAGGGGTCTAACTCCCACTGAAAACAAAGAAACAAATTCAATGTGAGGGAGGTACATAAATGCCTTTGTGGCTCTCCATCTCTTGAAATTTTCAAGACACTTGACTGGGACGGTTTAGTCACAGATGATTCTGCCTTGAGCAGGGGGCTGGACTAGATGAACTCCTAAGGTCTATTCCAACCCTACTGTCCTATGACCTGGATGAAACTATTCTTATAGCAGATATTTGATTAGGTGGTACATTTGTCATACACTATCAATCTAAATTAAATATGTCCGTTTGGGTTGGGTAGATAGTAGGTGCTGAAGAGACTGAATTTAATTTCTAATGAACCAGTAAATGCATTTTATAATGTAATCCTAAATATTTGTTCCTTAAGGAACTTGAAGGCTTAAATTATTACAATATATTTGCATCAATAGATTCCTGCCAAAGAACTAAGTATTTATGAGATGTCCTTTAAGCGGTTAAGTATCAAGTACTTTTTTGTTTAATATAATTTGATAATTAAATCCAGTCTACAAGTTCATAACCAATTGTGTTAAAATGATGATGGTATTTTTATCAGCCTTTCAAAGGGACAACAGTGAAGAAGCAATTTAAATAAACACTGTTGGCTCAAACAGATACTTAAGAAAACCCACAAAACTAAGGGCCTCAGCTGATTTTGAGAGTACTGTAATAACTTTTTCCACCACTTCGGCAGTACAAAGTGACACCAACAGAAAGAACCGATTCAGAGTGTTGAATATGTGGTAGAGATCTTTGTTATAGATTAAAGAGGATCATTTTGCACTGTTAAGTAATATTTGTTGAGCATTTGAGGAACTTGGACCCAACTGTAGAACATACTAATATCAGCTGATATTTTAAGCTGCTTTGGGAGACTGAATTGCATTCTTTTTTTGGCAATGGAGGAAAACAAAAAACATAACATTCATTTAAAGACAAAAAATTCCAGTAAGCATGTTCCTGACCTGTAATACCTGCATGCATAGGATGATCCAGGAACAAACAGGGATTATAAATCATTCATGATTAATTTGCGACTCTCATAAAGGAAAGATTGAAGGAAAAATTGGAATAGATTGCCCAAAAATGTACGTTTCCTTTTAATCCCAGTTTTCTATTTGAACTGGATGGATCAAAAAGAGAAAACACCTGGAAACAGAAGCCTTGATTAAATGCATCACATTCCAAACAGCTAGTGCCCAACAGGTCGGCTGTTTCTTCTTTTGATTAGAGCCAATTTTCTTCTAGGTTTAGTGTAGTGTTGTTCTTTCAGGTCTTCTTGCTGCTTCCCATGTCTTGTTTTATTAGAAATTTGGGTTTGGCTGCATGTGAAGCAGCACTGAGTCTGTATGGATGGTATCAAACATTTGCCAATCTCTTTTAGTTTTTGGCAGAAATTAACTGACATGTTGTCCTTGTTGCAAAGTAGGCCTGCAGCAAAGAACACAATGAAAGATATTTATATTCTGTACATACAGGTGCATGCAGGTATTCAAGTGTCTAAGCTTGTGTGAACATATGGACAGGAGGCAAGTGGAACAAGTGAACTCTAAGGCAATTCATGCACGAAGGGATGTTGATGACCATGATCCAAACCAGGCTGTCCTGGTGCTGTCAGACCGAGGTGCATTGCCTTCAGATGCATTGTCCCAAATAAGCTAAGAACCATGACCACGTTATATATACCTCTCTGATGGCATTACTATCCCAGTCATTCATTTTCCAGGCCTGGCTCACTGCACTATTGTCATGGGATGAGGTCCCCAGGGATGGCTGTGATGTCCCTAGGGCTCCGTGATCATGCCAATCTTGCCCAACGGGCACCCTTATCCTCACCTGCCACGTCTTGTTGGAAATTATAATATAGAGAGGCTGCCCTTGAGTTTGTTTTGGACAAGGTCCTGATGGACCCTGCTGAACCCTGTGGGTTCTTTGGACCCTTTTTTTGTGTCCCTGTCAAAATGGTTGCCTCATGAGGCACCCTTAGCCTTATCAGCTAGATGTGTGGCTCCAAAACCACCCCTTTACCACACCCCAAGCCTTGCAGATGGTATTTTAACGTTGCCTCTCTGAGGCCTTGCTATCGCTCGGCCTCCTGTCATCACCGGGCTTTCTGCAGCCCTGTCACCGTGCCCACACTGGTGCTAGGGTCTGCTCACCCCCTTTGTAACCGCACCCCTGCTGCTGGGGTCCCCACACTGTAATGGGCCCCGTAATGAGGCCTTCTCCTTCCCCAGTAGCCTCAGCCCGATCCACCAGTTTATAAATAGAAATCAAAATATGAGCCCCTGGGCTATAACATAATACAAGCAGTTCAGGGCGCACTCTGTCCCTTTAAAAGAGTCAAACTTCCCCCAGCACTAAGTGCCTTGCAGGCCAGGGTACCTGGTGAGCTCCTGGAGCCCCTTAATCCTACCAGAAGCAGAACAGGCAGTCAAGCATCTCTAGTTAGCTTCTTCTATGAGAGCTCCTTTCCTCTTTGCTGCTGACAGAGAACTCCCCCACTTGTGCCAGCCCTGGGGTTTACATGTGCCCAGGGCCCTGCCTCGTCCGGTCAGCTGACCAGCTGCAGATGTAGGCTAATTCCCTCATTAGCCTGCTGCCACAGGAACCTGCACCTGTGGGGTTCCTGCCTGACTGCTAGGGCCCTCTCCCTAGGCAGTTTCTGAGCTTAAAGGAGCAGGCACCTTAGTGCCCTGAGACAACTATCCACTCAAGTGATGTTCCACAGACCCAAGGGCTGCTGGTTCCTTGCAGAATAGGGAGGGAGAAGAAACAGACCACCCAATGTCCCCTCCTTTAGCTAGGTGGCCACTGCTGTATATCCCACGGGAAACGGACCCCTGCATGTGCGCTTGTCTGGATGTGCCCATGAAGGCCAGAGTTTCAGAAGAGCTCAGCACTGAGCCAAGGTTTTTGAGAGAGCTCAAAACATTGCATATGCATTGGGTTATGAAACTCTCTTCAAAACTTTGCCCCCAGATTGTATTATCATACCTGGACTTTTTCTACACTCCAGGAGACTGCATTTCTGAGATTCCGGAGGCTTGGGCTCGTGCTCACACATAATTTCATCTTCAGTAGCATAGTTTTCTGTATTGACACACATTACTGCTCTTTGCTGAATACCTCCCCCACAGGACACGGTGCACTGAAAGACATACAGTAATACTAAATTATCCTTTGAAAGAGAATTGTGTGGTACATTTCTAGTGTGTTTATCAATTAGCAAAAAAGCTCCAACCTATGAGGTGTTAAAGTAAGAGAAAAAAAATGATGCTTAATCAAAGTACTGTGTGCGCTAAGCTCCCCAGCCAAAGCACAGCTCCCATCATGCACCAGGCTCCAGTGGACCCATGGTACATCATGGGCAAATCAGCAAATCAGTTGACTGTGGTATAGTGGCTCATAGAGGAGAAAGGCAGCATGATGGCTTGAACTGTGATCCCCATGAGGCAGCATCTCCAAATCAACAGTTGTCAGTTTCTGGTTTCCAATTTTTAATGAAAAATCAAAATTCTTAGCCGAGGGATGTGTTTTTCAACCAGTTATGTAAATGTAACTATCTCCTACTGACTACTCACCTCACTCTAGAAAGGCCTGACCATAAAGTTTGGGAAAAGCTCAGTGAGGTGCTTCTTTCCTTGGTGATATTTAAAACGCTACCAAATGTTTGCTCGAGGAAAAAGCAGCCCAGATGCTTATACTGCCTGAAAACAGGTGCCAATGGAGAGAAATATTTTCAGACTACAATTTTCAATATAGTTTGGGGGTGTTAGGGCCCTTACCTCTTCATTCATCAAGTTCTGTGTGCATTTGGTGGATATTAGAATTTATTTTCCCTTCTGAAGGCGAAGTAGTTGGCAAGAGAAATCATAAATCCAGAAAATTACCTTCTAATCTTGTTTCCCTAAAGCTTACAGAGATATATGAAGTCTACAAACAAGAATGTAGGTATTCTGAGACAGCTTCAGATAAATCTTTAAAATTGAACTTATATTGAATAAAATAATAATAATACAGTCTGTACAGTAGTCCTGGGATATTTATTTTGATATGAAATGCAATTCATTTTATAGTACTCCCCGCATTTTCAGTTTCCAATACAGCTCAGTGTCATCTTTAGATATTGGAGTTAAATCCTTTATAAAATACAGTGTTTTTACCTCCTGGCTGCCTTCTGCAAATACAGTAATGTGTCAAATTTCTTGTTAACTGATTTACAGATTTTTTTTCTTTTAAATTACCTGCAATACTGTATTGCGTGGTATGTTTATGCAACAGATGCTTTGTTATAATCTTGAAACATTACCTGAACCTCTATGCCTAACTGAACATACTTAAACTTGCTCCTATACCCTTGCAGCTTTCTTCTACAGTAACTTTCATGTGATTAAGAATAGACTGAAAAGAAAAAAAATCCCTCAACAGATAATTAAAAATGATTTCCTTTACTTAATAGCTATTTCCTTGGGGATATTTCAGATGCTGGGCAGACGTGTGTAGGCAGCAGATCACGCCTCTGCCTCAGCTCTGGACCGAGTCGTGACCTGTGCAAGATCCCAGCCCATGTGCTGGAGCAGCTCCCCGCCCAGCTTCATGCCCTGCCAGTGCTGCTAGGGCCAGTCTCCATGGAAACCCTGGCCCTGGGCTGTCAGGACACTGCCACTGCTGGGGTTTCCATGGAAAGCGACATGTGCAGGGGCTGATTCTACACATTGTGTTTCGAACATATTCTTGGCAGACTAGTGTGGGGGCAGACTATTTGCCAACTGACAAACTGGCTTTTTCCTC